CTCTCCTTCTTCCTCTCCCACTTCCTATTTTATCCCTCCCTCCCTCTCCCTTCCTCTCTCCTTCTCTCTCTCCCTCTTCCTTCCTCTCTCTCCCCTCCCTCTCTCTCTCCCTCTCTCTTCCTCCCTCTCCCTCCCTCTCTCCTTCTCTCTCACCATCTTCCTTCCTCTCTCTCCCTCTCCCTCCATCTCTCCCTCTCTTCCTCTCTCCCTCTCTCCCACTTCCTCTCTCTTCTCCCTCCCTCTTCCTTCCTCTCTCCTTCTCTCTCTCCCTCCCTCCCCCTTCCTCTCTCCCCCTCCCTCCCCCTCTCTCCCCTTCCTCTCTCTTCTCACTCCCTCTCCCTTCTCTCTCCCTCTTCCTTCCTCTCTCTCCCCCTTCCCTATCTCCTTCTCCCTCTTTCTGTCTCCCTCTCTCTTCCTACCTCTCCCTTCCTCTCTCCTTCTCTCTCTCCCTCTCCCCTCTCCCTTCCTCTCTCTCCCCCGCTCTTTCTCCCTCTTCCACTCTCCCTCTCTCCTCTCCCTCTCTCTTCCACTCCCTCCATCTCTCCCCCCCTCTCTTTAATGACTGATGCATTGCCTGCCCCCATCTTAGTTCAGAGATTCCTCCCTCCCTCCCTCCGCTCGTCTTTTCTAAAAGCCAATTTGTCAGGGGTTTCTGTTGGTGAGGAAGGCTTGTTGACTGCTCCCTGTCCATTCTGGCCCAGATTATAAGCATATTGCACTGTTCTCTCCACACGAGGCCTGGGAAATCCAATACGTTGAAAGGTTAATGCAATCAATTAGGGTGACAAGGAAGTAAAGGGAGGCTTCGGAGTAGATGAAAAAGAGAGACAAAGGCTGAAGAGGCCTCGGAAGAAGACGGGGGGGGGAGATAAGAACGTAACCCCCTCCCCAATTTTCCTCCACATATTAGACCGGGGCAAACCCCAGTTCGCCATTAATTGGGCAAGAAAGTAGTCAAAGAGATGGTATTATTTTGGACAACCCTTTAAAAAAGAGGGGGGGGAGAAGGCCTGAGAGAGGGATGGGGGGCTGCCCAACGTTCGAAGAGATATAAATAAGATTCTCAGGTCATTTGCTCTCCATCCTCTCTAAAAGTTTTGGAGGCCAGAACAAAAGAGAAGGCTTCCGTCCTCCGGAAAATGTCGGACATCAAGCAGTGTTTTTTTTTCATTCTGGACAACTAGGGAGATGCGTGGACTTCAGCTCCCAGAATTCCCCAGCCACCAACATGGGGAATTCTGGGAGTTGAAGTCCACGCATCTTCCACTTGGCCAAGTTGAGAAACACCGGGATAAAGCAAGGCAAAACCAAGAATAAAACAGAAGCTGAACAATTCAGGGAAGGATCCGGGGTGGAAGGAGCAAAATCTTCCTTAATGAGAAGAGCCTTGGTGGCGCAGCAGACTAAAGCACTGTTAAGAAACACCAGCTGCCTGCAATTATTGCGAGTTCGAATCTCACCAGGCTCAAGGTTGACTCAGCCTTCCATCCTTTCGAGGTAGGTAAAATGAGGACCCGGATTGTGGGGGCAATAAGCTGACTTTGTATAAAAAAGAACACCGCTTGGGGGGGGAGGGGCGAAAGCCCTACTAAGCAGGTATATACAAAGGTATGAAGGCTATTGCTTAACGCATTGTAAGCCGCCCTGAGTCTCCGGAAAAGGGCGGCATATAAATCGAATCAATCAATCAATCAATCAATCAATCAATCAATCAATCAATAAGGCTGCAGTTAAGGCAAAGATTCTGTGCAGCTCAGAGAACCTCCAAATCCCACTCCTGCCTGGCCCTGCCCCACAGGGCGCGCGGGGAGGCTTGGGGAGGGTGAAAAACGGGCCTACCGGAAGTTTGGGAAGACTGGAAATGGGCATTTCTGGCCTCTAGAGAGCCTCTGGAGCCTGGGGAGGCCATTTTCGTCCTCCCAGAGGCTCAGAGAAAGCCTCCGGAGCTCAGGGAGGGAAAACACCCTCCCGCCACCGTGGTGCAGGAGGCCGGCTAGGCCACGCCCACCATGGCCACGCCCACCCAGCAACCGGGCAGAGAACCCCTTGCTAAAATTTTTGAAGCCCATCCTTCTTCACACCTGGGTGTCTGCAATGCCAGGGCTAGCACCAAGAAGCTGAAAGGGACTTGCCAGCCAAACGTTGAGCCAGGCAAGGGCTTCCACCATTGGCATATGCCAGTGTTTCAAGACCAGGGAAGCTGGGTGCCCAACAGCTTTCTCAGAGGCATCAAAGGCAAGAATCCTGGCCCTTGGAGGCCAGGAGCTGGAGTGGGGGAGTGGGAAACGTAACCGGAGTGGATCCTTCTAAGTCTAAATAAACCAGCTTACCACGGCCAACTAGCCACGGACAAAGAGTTACACTAATATCAAATAAATGGTGGAATGGAAGCATTAAAGAAAGGATGCAAAAAAAGAGGGGCAGATTGAAATGAAATGGGAATGACAACAAATATTATTTTTTAAAATTTTAGATCATTAAATTGAATGGTTAAATTGCCTGGTGGCAAGTTGTCCCACAGTGAGCTGGCCATGATGAGTTGGCCGCAAAGAGTTGGCCATAGCGAGTTGGCCATAGTGAGTTGGCCGCAAAGAGTTGGCCATGGCAAGTTGGCTGCAGAGAGTTGGCCATGGCGAGTTGGCCATGCTGAGTTGGCCGCAAAGAGATGACCATGGTGAGTTGGTCGCAGAGAATTGGCCATGATGAGTTAGCCATGGCAAGTTGGCTGCAGAGAGTTGGCCGCAGGGAGTTGGCCGTGATGAGTTGGCCATGGTGAGTTGGTTGCAAAGAGTTGGCCGCAGAAAGCTGGCCATGGCGAGTTGGCCATGGCGAGTTGCAGAGAGTTGGCCATAGAGCATTGGCCATGGTGAGTTGGCTGCAAAGAGTTGGCCATGGCGAGTTTGCTGTAGAGTGCTGGCCGTGATGAGTTGGCCATGGTGAGTTGGCTGCAGAGTTGGCCGCAGCAAGTTGGCCATGGCGAGTTGTCCCATTCCATGGTGGCAAGGTCCATGTCTGGAAACAAAGCAGCCGAAGGCCACAGGGATCCAGGAGGGAAGAGTAAAATAGATTTGAGGAGTGGGTGAGGGGGGAGTGGAGTCTCTGATGAAGCCGTGAGGGAGCGTGAAGACGAGAGAGAGAGAGAGAGAGAGAGAGATGAGAGAGAGAGCGAGGAAGGGGAACCAGAAGGAAAGAGCTGTAACCACGGTGGTGAAGCCCGCAAAAGGAAGCATCCGCCCAGTTCCTTTGAGTGCTCAAGGCAGGGTGCTCAGAGGGTGACCTACATCATGCCCGGCTGTGATCGCATTTCAGGGCCACTGCCTGGCAATCCCCAGACAATAAGAGGGCAGCCTTTGAAGTCAGAGAAAAGAAACTGAAAGGCAAAAAAAAAGTGGAGCTATTTTGGCAGGGCTGCGGAGGGGGGGGGGACGGGGGAACGACAGAAATGTGTGCGAAGCGAAGGGCCAAGTAGGAAGGTGGGGTGCTTGGGAGGACAAAAGCTCAGAGTCTGGAGCTCAGCGGGTCTCCCTGAAACCAATGGGGATAAAAGGAAAACAAACAGTTTATGAGTGGGGCACATGCTGCCTCTGTCTGCCTCCTTCTCCCCCTCCCCACTGAAGCCCCCCTGCCTCCGGAGAGGCCATGTCAATGATGGATGGATCAGCAAGCCCCTGCCCATTCTTGCCGTGTTGCAACAGAAATATTTACATAACATTGGCCTTCTATCGGTCACCTCTGACACCAACCGGGCTCGGCTCCCTGCGGAATCAGCTCGGGGAGAGAGAGAGAGAGGCCCTGCTCACTCCCTCTCTTGACACCTGGCTGAAGAGAGGAGGGGACAGGTGGGGAGCGGGCACCCCATGTTCTCGGCCGAGCCTCCGGGAGATAGGTGCCCGGACAGCTGAAGATGGGGTGAGGGGAATGTTCGAAATTTATGGGCCTTACTCTCTTAACAACACAAAAGTTCTCCCGACAGCTAACACAGCCGAGTTCCCTCGCAAATTTAGAGAAATCTGCAAATTGGGCCTGGCTTGAACCTTGGAGGGTGGGAGGGATGTTCCTTATAAAAAAACAGCACAGCGGAGAGAATGGCTACAGCCTTCGGTTCTGTCTGAGCTCTTCAAAGAGGGACCCACGATTCAATCTCTCCCCCTCTCCCAAAATGTAAGGACACAGTCGAAAGGTCGGCAGTTCGGCAGTTTGAATCCCTAGTGCCGCGTAACAGGGGTGAGTTCCCGTGACTTCTCCCAGCTTCTGCCAACCTAGCAGTTCGAAAGCACCTAAAAAAAAAAAAATGCAAGTAGAAAAAATAGGGACCACCTTTGGTGGGAAGATGACAGCGTTCCGTGCGCCTTTGGCGTTGAGTCACGCCGGCCACATGACCACGGAGATGTCTTCAGACAGCGCTGGCTCTTCGGCTTTGAAACGGAGATGTGCACCGCCCCCTAGAGTCGGGAACGACTAGAATGCATGTGCAAGGGGAACCTTTACCTTTATTCTTTATATTTACAGACCCTTCACATCCTGGACATAAACTGTTTCAACTCCTACCCTCAAAATGACGCTATAGAGCACTGCACACCAGAACAACTAGACACAAGAACAGTTTTTTTCCGAATGCCATCACTCTGCTAAACAAATAATTCCCTCAACACTGTCAAACTATTCACTAAGTCTGCACTACTATTAATCTTCTCATCGTTCCCACCACCCATCTCCTCCCACTTACCACTGTATGACTGTAACTTTGTTGCTTGTATCCTTACGATTTATATTGCTATTGTTTCCCAATTGCTTATTTGTACCCTATGATTATCATTAAGTGTTGTACTTTATGATTCTTGTATCTTTTCTTTTATGTACTCCGAGAGCGTATGCACCAAGACAAATTCCTTGTGCGTCCAATCACACTTGGCCAATAAAAATTCTATTCTATTCTATTCTATTCTATTCTATTCTATTCTATATTCTATTCTATTCTATTCTATTCTATTCTATTCTATTCTATTCTATTCTTAGCTTTGGAGAAAGGCAGCCTCACCTAACATGAGAGGAAGCCTCCTAAATCAAAATGTCCACAGGTGGCCTGCTTAATCTGAGATGCTGACCGCTAAGATTTCAAACGGATGCCTCCTGAAAGGCGATCGGCAAATCCTGCGGTGCAAAGCTTCTTATAAACGGGGAAGCATTTAACTAATAATTACTCGAGCGGGTATTTCCCCTTCCTTCCCCGCGAGAGAGCAGGCTGCCACTCGGGCACAGCACAGGCCCAAGCAGAGACAGTCGTCGCGTGGCATCAGGAGGAAGCCAAGCCCCGAGTTTCTCTTTGCCAGAGGAAACCCAGGTGGCTGCTGGCTGGGCCTTTCTTCCTGCAGCTTTATATTCTCTCTTTTAGGCTCCGGGAAAAGTATAAAGCATCGGAGAAGGCCATGGGATGAATCTAAGCACCACACTGATAACAGACACATACGAGTAACACACACCAAAAAAAAAAAAAAAAAGTAAGAAGAAAAGTATCCCGCGTGGGCAAACTTACCCATTTGTGGTCCTGGTGGGTTCTCCCACCTTTTGAGAATTCTGGAATCAAGATTCCGCAAATTGTTTGTGTTGAATGAACGCTGTGAAGTCACTTCATCCTGAGGAGGGGAAGAAAAAAACAAAGAAAGAAAGAAAGAAAGAAGGGAAGACAGTCAATTCCTGAATTCCTAAATCATCGTTGACGATTTAGCAGAGTTATGGATGAAGAGTGGGCTGTCCCACTCTTCCTATTTCATCATTATAAATCAGCGGTGGAATTCAATTTTTTTTTACCACTGGTTCTGTGGGCGTGGCGTGGCTTGGTGGGCGTGGCTTGGTGGGCATGGCAGGGGAAGATACTGCAAAATCCCCATTCTCTCCCCACTCCAGGGGAAGGATACTGCAAAATCTCCATTCCCTCCCCACTCCTGGGACCAGCCAGAGGTGGCATTTGCCGGTTCTCCGAACTGCTCAAAATTTCCACATCCGGTTCTTCAGAACTTGTCAGAACCTGCTGAATTTCTCCCCATGCTATAATTGTGATGTTCGTGTTAAATTGTGGCAGGAAAATCCAAACCTCCCTCTCCTGTGGCCTTCGAACCATGCATAAAAAGTAGACTCTTGAGCAGAAAAAAAAAAAAGTTTAAATGTTTTAATTTATCTGCCCCTTCCTTACATCTTATGCTTTTCTAATTTTTTATTTTTTATTGCCGTCAATCATCTCGCATTCAGGCTGTTCGTCTTTTATGGAAAACAGGGGTCTCATTTCCTATTTTGAGGGGCATTTCTATAGGAAAGCAAAGCCTCTTGTTCCCACCGAAACGGCCTTTGAAGAGAGGGGAATTTTACTCAGATCTCCGCTGCCTGGCAGAGAGTCCCCGTTCAAAAGATTATATCCAATTTGTTTGTTTATTGAAAATAGAATCTGGTCCACCCAACCTTTCAATCATACTAAAAGCAAAATAAAATAAAATAAAAATAAAACCAAGCGAGATCCGCGAGGGCAATTATACAGTCCACAAAAGAGGGAAGCATTCGTAATCTTAACATAAGGCAATTCATAAAACGTTATGAACAGCACCATATATCTTGCTATCACTTCACTCAATTATTGGTGACCCTGACTAAGAGGGGATTTTAGCTCTGTGCGCAGTTACCATCTTGTCAAGAGCAGATACAGCACAGGGAGTTCTCTTGCCTCCGACGTATGGCATAGGGACTAGAATCTTTGTTTTTTTAAAATCCCTGACGTCCTTTTAGAGGTTGAAATCGGAACGCCTGGACCAGCGGAATGATAGCAAAGTATTTTGCCAATGGAACCCGATTCGGGAATTAGCTGCCGCCGTCCTTTGAGAAAGGGACCATAGAGACAAATGCTCAATTCCAGCCATTCTTTCTTTTTTTTTAAAAAAAAAAATCCTTGTCTTGAGGCTGCAGAGATTGGGGGTGGGGGGGTGGGGGTGGGGGACAGCGTTGAGGAGGGTAGGGGAAGCAAGCTTCAGCACATGAGCTCAAAAGATAACCCCTGTGAGGTGTGCATATTTTCCCAGTTCCTCTCCGCGTCTTGCCACAATTGGACTAAAAAGAAAAAAGAAAAGAAAGAAAGAAACCAACCCAAGAAAAGAAAGAGAGAGAGAGAGAGAAGAGAATCAGGCAAAGTAAATTTAATTATTTAGAGCCATATGTTCCCAAACTGTGAAGGAGCCTAAAAAAAGAACCATATTGTGAGACTTCCGATCGGGAGCTTGGACGGAGAGAGAGAGAGAGGATGAGGGAAAGGCAGAACCAGCTGTTTGCAAAACAGCTGGCCAGGGTTCCGTCCCACCCCCCACTTGCTGATAGCTGGAGGGGACGGTAGCTTGGCTGTTCCTGGCTGGCCCACTCTGTGGATGTAACTCACACAGCAACCCCTTATCCCACTCCCCCAAAAAAATAATCCTATGGAAGCATTGCGGGGCTCCCCAACCCCATTGCAGCCAGGGAATGTCGAGAGAGTAAGGTGGGGGGGTCTCTGGGGTTATTCGAGGAAGGGGAGCTTGCATGCATCCAAAAAGAATGGCCCAGTTGAAACTAGGCTGGAGTTGGCTCAGAATCTTTACAACCGCCTTGCAAGGTAGGCCGACGTTTTTACCGGTGGGAATGAGACTTGGAAGGATAAGTGGGGTGGAGGCTTGCAGCTTTGCAGCCTTCCTCGCTGCATCCACGACTCCAGGCACTTTGGTAAGAGGAGTTAAAGTCCTCTTTGGTGGGGGTGGGGGGGGTGTCTTGTTCTTTGCCGTCCGGTCCTCAGGCTTCAAAAGGCAAAGCAAGAGGTACTCTGAGCATGAAAAGAGCCTCCCCCCACACACTCCCGTATGCAGTGGTGGGATTGGCCTTTTTCCCCACCTCATCCGAGAAACCTTCTTTAGTTCTGATCGAATCCCTTCCCTTCTCCGCCATTCACTCAGAAACGGAAGAAGCTTCTCGGATGGGAAGTGAAACCCCTTCAAGGAAAAACCAAGGGAGTCCAGTTGCCTTCTGAAAAAGCACCTGTGGTATAATAGCCAAGCTCAGGCGCATCCACAGAAAAGAGGGAGATAGGCCTACATCAGGCAGAAGCAGTGGTGGGATTCAAGTAATTTAAGAACCGGTTCTCTGCCCTAATGATTTCTTCCAGCAACCAGTTTGCCAAACTGCTCAGAAAGTTTTAACAACCGGTTCTCCCGAAGGGGTGCGAACCGGCTGAATCCCACCACTGCCTGTATCCTAAGTGCCAACAGCAGGCCCTCGGATTTTCAATGCCAAACTTAAATCCTCCAGCCGGAGCAGGCTCAAATACTCCTCCATGCCTCCTCTTCCTCGCTTCTCTGGAGACCCTCGCCTCTTTCTACCCTGCCGGTCGTCGTCGTCGTCCCCTCCCTCCCACTTCCCCCTCCTCACTCAGTGCCAGATTTTTTAAAAAAAATTCAGTGTCTCTTCTTTCCCCCCCCCCCCCCCCCCCTCCCCGCCTGGCCATGCACTCCTCCGACCCTCTCGTCCCCCCCTCCCCTTTATTATTTTGGCCACCGCCAGCTTATCAATGATGCAAGAGGAGTAACGGCCAATTTACTTAGAAGGTGTAATCCCCCCAAATCAGATTGGGGGATTGCAGGAGTCAGGCTGACCTTGCATATGTCTCCATCAAAGCCACCAAGCCTCGGCTTGTATTCTCTGTTCCCAGCACATATTTAGACAGATAACACTAATTGAACCTGACATGTCCTCTTAAAGGATGGACTCTCCTGCTCGGAGCGCCTTTTGACAAGGAGGCCGTCAAGGAAACTCAGTGGCGGCTTCTCTGCATCTAGGACAGACCAGGCTAAGCGGCACACACACCCTTCCCTGGGGGGCGGGGGGGGTTTCCAGCCCCCCTCCCAAACTTTGGCCCGGCTCTCCCTTGCTTCAACCCCAGGAAGGGAGATTCCTGAACCCCATCTGCCCAATCCCCACCCCACCCTACCCCAAGAACATGCTGCTATCCGGATATTCTCCTTCCTGGAGTTGCTGCTAATTGGGGATTAAAAACAGCCAACCTAGGTAGATTCAAGCCCCCCTCCCCCTCCCCGGAGACAATATGCTCTTCCCCAAGGAAACCCGGTCCAAAGATCTGCATATGCAAATGAGAGTCATAAAGGGGAGGAGCCCTGGCAAGCTGCTCTCTGAATTATGGAAAAGTGCGTATGGTCAAGGTTTTCCCAGTTGCAATGGATGGCTGTGAAAGTCGGACCGTAAGGAAGGCTGAGCGCCAAAGAATGGAGGCCTTTGAACTCTGGTGCTGGAGAAGACTCCTGCGAATCCCTTGGACTGCAAGGCCATCCAACCGGTCAGTCCCAGAGGAGATCAACCCTGACTGCTCTTTAGAAGGCCAGATCCTGAAGAGGAAACTCAAATACTTATAGCCACCTAATGAGAAGGAAGGAGTCACTGGAGAAGAGCCGAATACTGGGAACGATGGAGGGCAAAAGAAGAAGGGGACGACAGAGAGCGAGGTGGCTGGATGGAGTCACTGAAGCAGTCGGCGTGAGCTTCAATGGACTCCAGAGGATGGTAGAGGACAGGAAGGCCTGGAAGAACGTGGTCCATGGAGTTGTGATGGGTCGGACACAATTTCGCAACTAACAACAACAAAGGAAGCCCGGTCCAAAGATCTGCATATGCAAATGAGAGTCATAAAGCGGAGGAGCCCCAGCAAGCTGCTCTCTGAATTACAGCAGACCTTAATTGTCTGAAAGTTCACTAAAACATAACCCAGGATAGCCTCCTCCAAACTTCCTGTCTCTTCAAAGTCTTTCTGCTTTTTCCTAACGCAATCCATGTTCTAACTAGCAAGCTTCAACTTTGTGTTACGTGGTGAAATTCCCAGGCAGGCCAAGGCCACCCCCCCCCCCCCCCCACCCCTTTTACAGACGAGCTACCCATGAAATAGTCCAGGGGTCAGCAACCTGCGGCTCTGGAGCCGCATGTGGCTCTTTCACCCCTCTGCTGCGGCTCCCTGTCACTCAAAATATGCATCCCAACCGCCAATGTGTGACACCCGCCGGCATATGATTTATTGAGCTTTTCAACCCCCGGTAGGCCAACCATGGATAAATGCAAGAAAAGAAAACTTTCAGAAGAAAACAGAACCTTTCATTCAACTACATAGTCAGGCACGGGAAGGGTTTTGTGGCTCCCGGAGTTTTCTTTTCTGTGGGAAACGGATCCAAATGGCTCTTAGGGTATTTAAGGTTGCAGATCCCTGAAGTAGTGAAATGGATTTTCCCCTTCCCACCATGTTTTGCAGGGTTCATATATGCATTTTTAACACTCAGGCTCCAGACGCCTGTGTGTTTTTTTCCCCCCCCACTGATCAGGGGAAAAAAAGGGAAAAGATGAGGGGGGAAAGGAATAAACAAAAGAAGAAATGATTCTATCTCAAGTCGATGCAAGAGAGGGAAGTAACTTAGATAGGCGGTGTTACTACAATACCGCATGAACAAGGAATAACAAGGCACTACTATTAATCTTCTCATTGTTCCCACCACCCATCTCCTTCCACCTATGACTGTATGACTGTAATTTTGTTGCTTGTATCCTTACGATTTATATTGATAATGTTTCC